ACTGCTGATCTACACATTAATTTGTTATCAATGTGTTATTATATTACTTGTTGTGTGAATGTATTTTAGCTCTAAGACATGTGAATTAATGGAATGAGTAAGTAGCATTTTAGTTTTTTTTTTTTTCTTAATTTGTATATTTGCTTTGAGAAATGTTTATTGTATGGATGTAATAATTATTATATATTTAGGGCTCCAGAACAAAAAAATTGAGTAAGGAGCCATTGGTTTATAAGAAAAAAAACTTGGGCGGCAAATAATTTTTTTAGGTGCCACAGAATAAACGCACTTTATTTTTTGTATTTTTTAACATTTCAATCATACTGTCATGTGTTTGTCTCACCTTTTCTTGACTTTATCAGCATTTGAATCCATCTTGTAGATGACCTGGGGACTTAAGTTCACTTAAAGTGGGAATTAAACGTCTTTTCCAACTTGAAATATACAGTCAAAAAGAACTGTTTATTACACCGAATCTGTACCAACATAATGGACCATAAGCATCACTTGGCCATTGAGTGTACACTTAAGTAATTTAAATTTAATAAATTTAAGTTAGTCCAACCTAAATTAAAATGTGAACTCAATACATTTTCAAACTGTTATTTGCCAGTGTAACTCGGAATTGTCAAGTTCACTTAACTTATTTCTTTCATTATGCATTAAGTTTATTTACTTAACAACTTTAAGGCAACAGGTTTCCTCAATTTTTTAAAGCAAAGTCAACTAATCACTTTTTACAGTGTAGTTTGGGCTCCTCCTCAATGCATCCAAAATGTTGTCATAGTCTTTCACACATCCAGTTGTTTTTTCTTCATTAGTAACATGCAATTTTATTGGACGTGTTGAATTATATATTTAGCTTGCATACTTGCATTTCTTATATTGACAACAGGTTAAGTAACTGTAAAACTATTAATATGCAATAGTGCCTAAATATAGCAAAATGCTCTTCTTTACAGTAATTTTTCTAGCTGGCTGATGTTTGTAATGATGATTATAGATGAGAATTGTTAATGATATTGCCAATATCCACACAGCCGACAGCTTTACCTGTTGTAGTTTGTTCAAGTTGTGCACGAAATAGACACTGCTTTTGTGCACTTTTACTTGCACATTTCCGTCATTTCGATCTCTCTCGCGCTGCACAACTGAGCTGCGTTTAGTGAGTGTGCCATCAATGCTGCTGTGCTGCAGAGATGACTGTTGGACTGTTTGAAACTTTTTTTTTTTCCCCCACAAAATTTGATGCGCATCATCTCCGTTTAATACATGAACATAACAAAAGATATGATCGCAAAACAATCAGGAAAACATTAAGTCATAACATGCAAAATATATAGTCGCCAGTGGCGACCTCAAAAAAAACTTTACTCTCGAATTAATATTTTTGATCACAAATGCGACCATTTTAGTCGCAGTCTGAAACCCTGTATATTGTTAACTTGGTGTTATTTTTAGCACCAAATAGCAGACTAAAATGACACGCTAAATCAATCACAGATAAAATATAAAATGTTCAAAAATGTAAGTAATTAAATGGTTACTTGTTGGACTTCAAGTTGACCATCTCTAATAACCTTGTTGTTGCAAAATATAGTTTTTCATTCAGACTATTAACAAAGTATATGATTTTATGTTTCTCTCTCTCTCCTTTTTTTTTTTTTTTAAGCCGGTGAGGAGAATTTGATCGAGCAACACATTCACGCCAGCATGGTGAATCCTGGCGACCACTGGCAGTCCATCCGGCACCCCGGCATCACGGCCCACATTGAGTACCGCATCCGGGTCAGGTGTGACGAGAACTACTACGGGAGTAAGTGCAACAAACAGTGCCGGCCAAGAGACGACTACTTCGGACATTACCGCTGCGATCCATCAGGAAATATTGTATGTCTAGACGGCTGGATGGGAGAGGACTGCCGGACAGGTGAGTGATGTTGACCATCTGTATTTTGTACTTACCACTGCAGTTTAATGTTGTGGCCGAAAAATATTTTTTAGTTTTCATTTTCATTTTAGGGTAAGTTTTACCTTTACCTTTATTTACCTTTATTTTTATTTCAGTTTTAGTCATTTTAGTTCTTAAGTAGTACTTTTAGTAGATATGTCAGTTATTAGTTGAAAAGGTAATATTAAATTTTTTTTTTTTACATTTGTTTTTCATCTAATATTTATATTTTATTTTATGTCAGTTTTATTTCAATTAACAAAAACAATTATTGTTTGTTTAACAATAGTGCTAATAACAATATTGAACTGAAATCTGTTTATTTAAATCTGGGTTTTTTAATGCTACAAATGAATCTAGGCATCAAGTTTTAGAGATTAATTTTGAGATTAAAGTAGATCCAGAGGTGTCTAAGCCAGGAAGTCACTCTAGACGATGATGACATAATTCAGACACTTAAGGACCCATCACACTTCAGTTTTCTAGTCCTTACGACTACTAAGCGCAGATACCTGCCCTCATTCTTCTGCCCTCCTTTACCTACTCTGAGACCTGAGCGGTTTAAGAAGGACATGGACATGGGGAACACTGAACATTATTTTGTGTATTTGGTGTAATAATGTGTTTATGCGGTTTAAAGTGGAAAAAAAACACATTATTTCCCACATACTGTACATTATTGTTTCTCCTCTATGCCCTGCCTTTTTGAAACGTGTCGACTTTTACAAAGTTCATCAAAAAGTGAGGTGTGCTCTGATTGGCCGAATACCTCAATCGTGTGACGGAAATGTTACGCCCCTCACCATACTGTTGATGCCATGATCAGTTCTGGAACAGTGTTGTAAATACAACTTAACCACCTAGCGTGAGCTGAGGCCGGGCTAGAGTGAGCAGAGGCGCATGCTTGAGAACGGTGTGGCCGGCAGATTCGACGAAGGAGTGGCAACCACATGTGACGACTCCGCTTCGTCCACGGTGAAAGCCGATCCAGTGATCCACAGCACTAAGTTGATGTATTCCCTCAGAGACCAGCACGGATCAGCTCTAGGCATGATGAAGCGGATATCGTCCTCTTTTGGAAGGCCAAACAAAGTAGTTTCGCTTTCACAACGAAACACACAGCTCTTCACGACATGGCGACGGCAACAATACTACAGCGAGAATAAAAGTTATGCCTTCTTTCTTTGCGTGAACATTTGGGCGGCGTTATGCAAATCTTCCCACATCGTGACATAGACATGTGGGGGCGTGTTTGAACGAGCCGTTTTAGGTAGGCGTTGTTACCTCTTAACTTTTATAAAGAATATCTCTTTGGATTTGAGACTTTAGTCTTTGCAACTTTACAGATTTTCTTTATGCACCAAGAGCTTGTAACACTCCAAAGAGAAAGGAAAAATTGTAATCGCATCATATGACCCCTTTAAGTTTAAGGTGTTTTTTGTGGTTGTAATGGACATGTCCTGACACATCAAGTAAATGCAATGCAACTTTCTCTTTCTCTGAGTTAGTGAGCAAGCTTATGTTTGGCAGTGCTCGGCAGAGCTGAACGCCCCCGTGCACAGGCAGGGTTCAGACTCTGCCCACACACTCCTGCCTACATGCTCTTTCATACAATACTAGTAAGGTTGTTACTGGGCAGCGCAAAGCTGTGTGTGCGCTGGTGTAAGTAATCCAGCCTCTGGCCTGCCCCTTGGGCACAGATCTGGGGGGCTATTTCAGAGACCTCATTGGAGATGTTATAAGTGGATTTGGATCAAGGCCTCCATGCAGAGAATGTGCCAGGTGTGTATGCAGTGGCCAAATCCACTTCACCCACCTTCTCGAAGGGCACATTTGCCTTTAGTTAGTAAACACCATTGCTTTTCACCTTAAATGCTTTTGGAGTTGTTGTGAGCTGATGTGAGGCATTGTGGTCCTGAATTATTTAGTTATTTGTATTTTTTATTCATGCATTGATATCACCTTTAGATAAATGGAGAAAAAATGCAAATGCTAATTGTTAGAATATTAAACTGATAAAAGAAGTAGTTAAACTTAAATTGTTTAACATTTAGTGCATTAGTCATTAACAAACAAACAATACATTTATAGCATTTATAAATCTTGGGTAGTATTAATTTCTACATGTTAACTTTAAATAATAATATGCATATTATTTCATGTCAAATATGAAAATTTTTGATATTCAAATTGATGTATTGTTTACAGCATTTATTAATCTAGGTTAATTTATAAATACACTATTGCTGTTGTTAATTTATTTTAATTCAGGTTAGTTTAGCATGTTAATTTTAATATTTAAGTATTTTTTTAATATAAAAAAGTCTTATTTAAAATGTAGAAATTAACACTACCCAAGATTAATACATGCTGTAAATGTAGTGTTGATTCTTAGTTTATGATACCTATTGCATTAACTTATGTTAACAAATTGAAATTTTTGTAAAGTGTTACCCTTGAAAACCAAGTGTTACCATGAAAATATTAATATATAAACATATTACTGGGAGTGCCATGTCAGTACCATGGTAAATTCATAAGATAATCATTCAGTGCTGTCTGTTTCTCAGAGTACTGTAGTATTTCTATCACTGTTCCATGGTACCATCACAGTACTTATTTGTAAGGCTAATAAGTGTTAGGACTTCTCTCTCCGAGGCACTGAGGTCGAGATATGCAGCTCGGCAGCTGGAGTCAGGCCATACCTCCTCTGCAGGAGAGCTGTCTTAAAATAGCCTGCTCAGAAATGACAAGACAGCTGGGTGAGGGGTGTGGTGGGGACGGAGAGAGCGCACCACTGGCCTTGGAATAGCGGAGTGCTGCTATAAACCAATGATTAGTTAACCCCTCTGCACCCCCGAGCTGTGACCGGACCATCCAAAGGGGGGGAGTGCACGTCTGTGTGCGTCGTGAAAGTGTTCTTAACTTTTGTCGCCCAGAATGTCGCCTTGTCCTAAGATTAGGTCTCAGCGCAGTGACGTGCAGCTGTATGTTTGTTCCTGTCTGTCATTAAGATGTCATGGTGGTTCAGTCCTTTAAGTGTTAACACCCTTATGTGGTTATCAGGTGCAACTACGGCTGGCAGGGCCAGTTCTGTGACGAGTGTCTGCCGTACCCCGGCTGCTTGCATGGGACATGTATCATCCCCTGGCAGTGCACTTGTGAGAAGAACTGGGGCGGCCTCCTCTGCGATAAAGGTAAGGGTCCTAAATGCATCCAACACGCTGATACTGAAGCATTGACCTAGTTAGGTTTTGAAAAATCGAGGTCAACCTGGAATTGACCCATAAAATGGTCAGTAGTAAATCAGAATGAATACGTTAAGCATGTGAACATCCAGCCACGGAGGTGCCAGGGCATCAAATTCATATCGTGGTGTTAAATAGAATTACAGCATCTTACACTGAGCTGGTTTGTTGGCTGCAATGGTAGCACAGGCTGTGCATCATGTGACAACGCACGCACAAATACACTCTGGATGTTGTGGTTGTGATTGGAGTGGCGCTCGGATATCTGATCTTTTGGTCAGCATGTGTCCTGGAAGGTGGTTAGGAATGAGAAGCAGCTGAGAGGTGCCTACAGTTCTCTTTATTTATTTACCAGCTTTCATGTGCACAGCCTGGCCTTACAAGGCCTGCTGGGAGCCCAGCAATAGTTTCTGCCAACTGTTTTCATTCAAAGAGCAAATGTTAGCAGGCTTTAGAAAAATCTGAATAGGGTTAGCATTGCTTTCCCCGTGGACTTAAGAAGTACCCCAGTTCATTATTATTTTATGTGTCTTTACAGATCTGAACTACTGTGGCACGCATCATCCCTGCGTCAACGGCGGGACCTGCATGAACTCTGAACCTGATGAATATAACTGTGCCTGTCCTGAAGGGTACTCTGGCAAGAACTGTGAGATCGGTACGAGATGGATAGAGGATTCAGTAAATAAAAGAGCTACAGTGTACACGGAACAATTCATTATATGATGTGTAGATGGATGGATGAATAGAAAAACTATGCATGTATGGATGGATGAATAGAAAAAATTATGGATGGATAGATTAATAGAAAAAACAATGGATGAATGGATGGATGAATAGAAAAACGATGGATATATGGATGGATGAATAGAAAAAATTATGGATGAATGCATGGATGAATAGAAAAAACGATGGATGGATGAATAGAAAACGATATATGGGTGGATGAATAGAAAAAATAATAGATGGATGTTGGGTTGAATGGGTGGTGTTGAGGTGGATGGATGGACTAATTGATAAATGGATGGATTGGTAAATGAAAAATGGATAGACTGATGTTGGATGGATGATAGATAGAGGATAGGTTGATTGATAAATGGATAGAAGGATGGATGGATAGATGGATGAATAGATAAATGGATGCGTGGATGGAAAAATGGTAGATTTATAAATGGATGGACTAATAAATGGATAAATGAATAGATGGATGGATAAATGGATTGATTTATAAAATGATAAACAGATGGATAAATGGATAGATTGATAAATGGATAATTAGATGGAAATTGGATGGATGGAAGGAATAGAAAAAAGATGGATATAGGGATGTATGAATAGAAAAAAAATTGATGAATGATAGATGGATGGGTGGATGAACAGAAAAAAACAATGGATGGATGTTGGGTTAAATGGGTGGTGTTGGATGGATGGATTAATTGATAAATGGAAAAATGGATAGACTGATAAAAGGGTGAATGGATGGATGGATGGATGGAAAATAAATAGATGGATAGATTGATTGATAAATTGATTGAAGGATGGATGGATGGTTGGTTGCATGGATGGAAAAATGATAGATGGACTGATAAATGAATGGACTAATAGATATATGAATGTATGGATAAATGGATAGATTGTATAAATGGATTGATTTATAGATAAATATATAATTGGATGGCTGGATAAATAGATAGAGCAACAAATCATAAAGTCAGTTATGATGTTTTATCAGTGTCTTTTCTGTCTATATTTATGACGCATTGTTGTGTTTTTGCAGCTGAACATGCGTGTGTTTCCAACCCCTGTGCGAACGGAGGAACATGTCACGAAGTCCCGACCGGATTTGAGTGCCAGTGTCCACCAGGCTGGGAGGGACCCACTTGTGCTAAAGGTGCGTAAACCTTTCGTGCACCTTCCTGTCTGACTGTTTCCAGGCTCAGTCTGTTCAGTCTGGAGACCTAGTTACAGACCTACACTGGAGCACAGACACCCGTCCCCTCCCCGACATGTGTCCAGATGCTGAGGCCAGTGTGCTGCTTGGATGCTTGTCATGCTGGGATGTGTCAGGTATATGGCAAGGCAAGCCAGTCTTGTATCTTGGCAGCACAGCGGGGTCCCATTGCATGGCGAGCATAGCTTGAGCTCTTACGGGTCCCGGATTAGAGCCTGGTGATACCCATCACTGAGACAGGGGGATTTGCATAATCTGTCTGCACTTTGAACCAGCATTTAGCTTCACAAATTGAGAACGCAGTGTGTCATGGGTCGCCCTTCCATCTCCACCCCTCCCGTTCCACAAAGCATCCCACTTTAGCACCACAGAGCTCATATTTGATCGGCTGCAAATGTGTTTCTCACCTCCAGGATGCCCAGTGTTTTAATGTTTGGTATTTCTCACACTCTTCATCGCTCCCTCCTCATCCAACCTCCTCAGTCTCATCCACCACACATATGGGGTTGTGTTTCCTTCATCATAGCAACAGCAGGGTCCCCTGCTGGAATTTGGACATGCCCCCCCCACACACACATTTTCCCTCTTCACTTGCCTGTCTGACCCTTTTACACAGCCCTCTCCACCCCATTCACCACAATATATGTATAAGACTAAAGCGAGAAGAAAGGAGGGAGGAATTTCTCTTGTTTTTGTTTCCTCCTATTTTCTTTCAAATTTCAAATGGCTGCTGCTCAGTTCTTTGTGCTCATATTAAAACTGTAACGATTTGTGCTCTAATAGCAGCTAATCTGGCGACCTGGATTATATCAAACTAATCGCGTTACTGTCTTGCATAAAGAAAAGCCTTTGCTCTCTCTGATGAACACACTGACACTCTCCCCTGCCCTTTCTCCATAGCCGTTTAATATGTTATATTATATTATTGCATAATTTTTTTTGAATGATGCAAAGCATAGATAAACACAGCTTCACATTATGTAGAGTAACAAGTTGTTAAAAACAATAATATGTGAAAAATATGACTGGATATGTAAAGCCATTGTGAAATAACCCTATACTTGCATTTGTGTGAATGTACATCATTTGAATTGTTTATTATTTCACCAAAATTTGGGACTTACTTTGATGACACAGGAAGCAATGCATCATCTAAATCGTTCACATTTATTGATATTGGAGTGCATGCTATAGTTTTCTGCCTGTTTTCTGATTTTCTTTTTAATTCTGTGAATGTCACAATATATAAACAATAAAGCTGACATGTTGACACATTTCTATTGCACTGTATACATCATAATGCCTTGCCTTACTTTGAATCATTTTTAGTCAATGTAACTGATCCTTTCTCTAGCATGCATGTGTGTGTGTGTGTGGTGGGCGGTGAATAGCCTGGACATGCTGGGTGTAAAATTGCCCAGTTTGAATGTTTATATGCATGAAACTGAAAACATTCCATAATATTATGGGATGTAACTCCTGTAATAGCTTTTTTATGCAAACTGTCTCTCAGCATGTTATTTTCAAGCACCATTTCAGGTGTGTTTTTCATATCTGCGGAATGTAACATGATTTTGTGTTGATGTTGCAGACATGGATGAATGTGCCTCCAGCCCGTGTGCGCAAGGCGGAACATGTATTGACCTGGAAAATGGCTTTGAGTGTGTCTGCCATCCTCAGTGGGTTGGGAAGACGTGTCAAATCGGTAAGATTGAGATTGAGAACTCCTGTATTGCAGTTGTGTTTTGAACTAGAGAATTCCAGCACATTTGAGTTTTTAATGCACACACTGTTCATTGGACCATCCACTCGTGCCATTTTATTCATTTTTGCATTGTCATTTGTTGAAAAATATGGTCCATTATGTATTTGAATGGTTGAATATGGTGTGTTAGATCTAAATTGCATGCAGTTTGCAAGCCTGCATGTGTTTTAGGCAAAGCAAGACTTGTGATTTGATTAGTCTGCATGAAGAACTTGTAGTGGCAATCTGATCCTTGATGACTGTAAGACAGCCATATATGCATATGTAAAAAGGAGGGCCAGCCTTAGAACTGGTTCTAAGACTAGATCAGATGGCCCATTGCAGGTGCCACAGGAGTTTCTATCATCCTTTTGCTCACAATGGTGTGCAGCCCTTGTTAGTGGAAGTGATGAATGTGAAAGGAAGTGGATTGTGACCTGTAAACAAGCGTGGGGTGGGAACAGGATTCGGGCTGCTCATCTTACGCTTCGAACCTTAGCCTCCAGCTTGGGTTTCACTCACAAGAGCCAGGCCGGAGCATGGTGGGGAGTCGTGTTTCCAGGAGGACAGGTGCGCAGGGGAGCGAAGCGCACCTCACTAGGGGCCCCTGATGAATATTTAATCTCCTAATAAGCACTAGTTTTTTCATGGCTAAGTCAAAAGAGTCGTAGCCCCCTGAACTGATTGGTCACCTGCTGTAGGCTAATAGAGGATGGATGGGAAGAAGGAGGGGAGATTACGAGTAGACCTTTAGTTTACGATGCAAAAATGAAAACATTTTCTTGGTACTTTGTCTTGTTTTCCAGTAAAAATATTTAAACTTCCTTAAAACAAGATATATTTAAGAATAACATTTGAGAAGATATTTATTTTGTATATTTCCTATTTATTTTCTAGATTAATTTTATTAAAAAAATGTTCAGAGAATATTCTCCAAAACCTAAATATATATGTTTTTATATATATTTATACACTACTCTTCAAAGGTTTGGGGTCAGTAAGATTTTTATTTAAGATATTAATAATATATTCAGAAGGTATTCATTAATTTGATCAAAAGTATCAGTAAAGACATTTACAAAATATTTATATTTTAAATAAACGCATTTTTAAAAAAAATTTTTTTTACTTTATTCAGTTTTCAACATAGATTACAATTTTTTTTTTTGAGCAAATCAAAATGATTTCTGAAGGATCATGTGACAGTGAAAACTGGAGTAATGGCTGCTGAAAATTCAGCTTTGCTTCCCCGAATTAAATTACATTTTATAATATATTCAAATAGAGTTGTTTTTTATTGTTATATTATATTATATCTGTTATTATAATGGGGTCATTTAAGATATATCTTTTGAATACAAGTCTTAATATCTTAAGTAAAATGATCTTGTTTTAAGGATGTTTAGTTAGTAGATTTTTTTTTTTTTTTTGGCTGTGTAATAGTCACTGATCAGGAAGTCAAGCAGACTGGCATCGTTGTGACTGTTAGTGTTTCAAGCCAGCAGACTGTTCAATGGGCTTAATGGTGGTGGGGTTACACAACATGATCTCAGATTTCTCTGCTCCTCTCCTTCTGCTCTACACTTCCCATCTCCTTCTTTTCAATCTCCCAATCAACCAATTGTCTACAAAATCTCCCAATTCTTTCTTTCCCTCACTTTCACAGATGCAAATGAATGTATGGGGAAGCCTTGTGTAAATGCTCACTCTTGCAAAAACATGATTGGTGGATATCACTGTGACTGCTTTCAAGGATGGGCCGGACAGAACTGTGACATCAGTCAGTATCTCCTCATGCTCCTCTCCTCTCCTTTCCTCCATCTTTAACAGCATACACTATAGTGGCACTCAGGGTTTCCTCTTTGGACACTTGATATCCTGTGGGGTTCTGCACACTGTATATTTTGTCTAAGGCTTTATTTACTGTTGCATGCTGGGTTATTGGTTGTACCTCACGTTTGTGTTGATTGTACTAACATTTCCATCCTCCGCGCACTTACCGAGCTCGTCTAATTTGAGTTAATTGCACGTCTTCAGCTTTCCCTAACTGCTGTCCTGATTTCCTCCACTTAGCCATTGATTAATTGCTTCATTTACTTTGCCCATGACTGCAGATCTCAATGGCTGCCATGGACAGTGCCAGAATGGAGCAACATGCAAGGTATAGCCTTTACAATTCTTCGTTTACTTTAGCATCTCAATTAATTGTTATTTATATTTAGTGTCATATTATTTGTGTCTGTGCAGGAGCTGGTTCATGGAGGTTACCACTGTCAGTGTCCTCCAGGGTTTGTGGGCTTGCACTGTGAAGTTTCAAGGAACAAATGTGCCAGCGGTCCTTGTCAAAACGGCGGCCACTGCCATGTCATTCTGGACAGCTTTGTTTGTGAATGCTCGCCAAACTATGCAGGGATGCTCTGTGAGGTGAGAATCTTTACTGTTTAAAGACATTGCTGTAGTGCAAAACCGCTTTTTTTACAGAGAACTTTTTGTCAGTATTGTTCAGCATGATGGTTTATTTTATTTTATTTTATTTTTGTTTTGTGCCCAAATGTTTTTTGTTTTTGTGTTTTGTTGTTTTGTTTTTAGTTGGAATTCATCTGTTGGTTTATAAACATTTAATGGATACAGAGGGGCTCAGTCTTGATTAATTGGTTACATTTAGTACTACAGATGGTCACTTCACCATTCATACTTTGCTCACAATCTCGTTCGGCACTGCTAAATTGGTCGACACCCCCCTTGTTGCGTGTGTGTATGTTTAAAGCCTTGGTGTAAGGCAGATCAAGCCTGCTATTCTGCCACAGGTGTGCCAGGGTAACTAGAGCAGGGTTTGGGTGGAGGGCTGGAGTATTTTTTCTTCATGTGGCCATCATTGCTGGTCTGGAGCCAGTTTAAGTCTAGTGGCAGGCTAAAGATGGACTTCCATAGAGGTGCTGGAAGCTGGTCCTGAGCCAGTCTCAGCTAAAAATAAGTTGTAGTGAATGAGGCAACTCTTCTCTTGGCCTCCTGGCCGCCTGCCCACAATCAGCCCGGGAAAGAGAAGGCCTTGATTTTTACGTTATATTCATGCCTGGCGTGCCATGCACTCACATTAGACCATACCGTCTGCAGTCTCTTGGAGAAGTGAGACTATACTAGGGAAGCTTTTGATCTGGATGGGCTGTTTTCAGTGCAGATGCACATGAGGCTATATATAAATCTCTGATCTAGTATTGACATAGAATCTGACATGTTTTGATATGGGATTAGATCTCTTTAATTGAATTAAATGTCATTAGAAAAAATGTGATTTACAACTTTTAGAAGCAGTAATGCTTAAACTACTGTATGAAATCCTCAAGTCACTATATATCTTCTAAGATCCGTTTCCTTTTGGTAATCAGTTTTAGATTAGTATTTTAAAATGATATGATGACTCTAGCAGTTTAATGTATCTTGATACAGTCTGGTTTGCAGATGCTCCTCTTACATCACTGCCTGTGAATAAGTGCTTTGTGCAGGCGCTCGGCTTCCAGTGTATAAATTACAATGTATATCCCTAATAAAATAAATTCAGCAGTCTTGGAGCTCGGGAGAACAGTGTTATAGAACAAACTAACACCTTAAATGGCAGCTGGCAAGATGTGTACTTTAGAGAGGTTGTTTACATTCCAAAGAGGTTCAACTCCCTAGACATGTATTTGTGAGAAAAATGGGAAGTTTGGACATTGAGGGGCTCATATAAAGCTGCAGAAACCTACATTAATCAGTAAACATGATTGGAACAGGTGTTTGTAGTGAGTTTTTCCTATATATTATATATTATATTATATATTATATAAATGATCAAAATCGACAATAAAACAGTAATATTGTGAAGTGTTGATTTAAAATAACAGTTTTTTTTAAGTGTTAAAAAATAATATCATATTAGGCTGTCAATTTAACACATTAATTTAGAAAAATTATATTAAAAATATATTTTTTAATAATACCCTTGACCCATAGAGAATTTGACACAGCATCCTAAAAATGTAGCACCCATGGCGAGAGACGTGATGCAGTG